AATTCTTTATATACTCTGGATCATATGGGTTCTTTCCCTTCAGTCTGTTAATACCGTAAATTACACTAAAAGTATAAAACTAATTTAAAATATATAAAGTCAAAGAACTGAACTATGGATGCAGGTAACCTCAGGCCACTTTTTTGGGGTACGTTTTGGTAAAATATAACTTTTTTTTTTTTTTTTTTTNTCCTCCAGGCTGGAATGCAGTGGCGCAATCACGGCTCACTGCAACCTTCGCCTCCCGGGTTCAAGCGATTCTCCTGCCTCCTGAGTAGCTGGGACTACAGGCACATGCCACCACGCCCAGCTAATTTTTGTATTTTTGGTAGAGACAGGGTTTCACCATGTTGGTCAGGCTAGTCCAAACTCCTGACCTCGTGATCCACCCACCTCGGCCTCCCAAAGTGCTGGGATTACAGGTGTGAGCCACCAAGCCTGGCCCATCTTAACCATTTTTACATGTACAGTTCAGTGGTGTTAGGTACATTTATATTGTGCAGCCATCACCACCATCCATTTCCACATCTCTTTTCGTTTTCTAAAGCTCAGTCTGTACCCATTAAACAGCAACTCCCCATTTCCCGGTATGTCCAGTCCCTGGCAAACACCATTCTACTTTCAGTTTCTATGAATTGGCTACTTTAGATACATCAAAGAAGTGGGATCATATAGTGTTTGTCTTACCGTGTCTGGCTTATTTCACTTATTCTCAGGGTTCTTCCAGTTGTAGCATGGGTCAGGATTTCCTTCCTTTTCAAGGCTTGTGTTATATTTTACATATATGTGGCCTGTTATCTGCTCATCCATGGGGACACTTGGGTTGCTTCCACCTTTTAGATATTGTGAATTATGCTGCTGTGAACATGGATGTTCAAATACCCCTGAGACCTTGCTTTCCATTCTTTCAGGTATGACCCAAAAGTGGAATTGCTGGATCAAATGAATCCTCCTTTTGCTCTCTATTTTTCTCTAAGCCCTCACTCTGAGTATCTTCTCCTTTTAGAGCTTTAGGGTTTAAACATTCTCATCTATTTATCCTTTAAGTAACACAGTAAACTCTTAATTACGATTGTTCAGAGAATATAGTGGTTATTGAATTTCTTGGTTAAATCTCCAGAAATCCTTGCTGTTGAAGAAGTGTGTTCATTTTATTCTCATAGTACAGTAAACATAATTGAATCTCTGATAACTCAGGGTCTTGCAGTGCCTGGGAGCTATCCTTATGAACACGGATTCTCAGCATAGGATACCCCAGGGATCTTTGATGTGAGTTTAATTATTTATGTGTTCATAAACAATAGAGTATTATATAATAATTGATATTTCAAAGGTGGTTACTAAAGGTTTTTTTATTTTTTAATGTGGCCATCTTTACTATTTTCTTTCTCTTTTTCTTTGTGTCCCCGTATCACCAGATCATGGGCTCTCACCCTCACTCTAAGTAAACACATTTACTAGGCATACCTTGTAGAAGGAAGTGGAATCTGGTTCTCATCTTCCTCACCCAGCTGCATTTCTCTTTACTATACATCCTGGTCGGATTGGGCTGCTCTAAGAAAATACCATAGACCGGGTGGCTTAAACAACAAACGTGTATTTCTCATGGTTTACAAGCTGAGAATTCCAAGACTGAGGCAGAGTCAGTGTTTGCTGAGGACATTCATCCTGGTTTGCAGATGCTGTATCCTCACTTGGGGGAGAGAGAAAGGGATCTGATCTCTCCCTCTTCTCATAGGGCACTAAACCAATTACAGAGGCTCTACCCTTCATACCTCATTTAAACCTAATTACTCCTCAAAGGCCCCACCTCCCAGATACCATCACATAGGGGATTAGGGTTTCAACATGAATTTTAGGGGGATACAAACATTCAGTCCATAGCACAGCACTTCGAGAAAGAAAAATAGAGCTTTGGATGAGAGGGGACCAGAGAAAGAAAGAGTGGAAGAGCCAAGAGGAAAGAAAGTAAAGATATTATGAAGAAACAAAGATAAGGGAAGGAAAAAAAGGAGTGAGGGGAGTCCTAAAGCCAGGCTTCACCTTTTTCCTCTATCTCTGGACAAATAAAGCCTTGTTCCCCCGGATCTGAGGATGGTTCTGGACGGCATGAATCAACTCTGAGGATCCTCCTATGGCTGTGTCAAGTGACTGACTAAACCACAGGTTACTTAGGGCAGGATGAACCTGATCAGCGTATACAAGCACTTCTTGACTGCCTCCCTTCCACAGCCTCCTGAGCTCATAACTACCAGCCAAGAATGGAAAAGACGAAGCCCTCATTCCATGTTTTATTTACCACTCTGTGGACAGAAGAGTAGTTCCCCAGGTTCTCTAAGTCCGTTCTCTATGGCGTGCCCAAACATACATTGCTCTGGAGGGTCTGGAGGGAGGCTTAAAGGTCAGCCTTCTTTAGCCCTTCAGCCAATATTGTTCACAGTGCTTAGGGGCAGAGGTCCTACCATGTCAGCTCTTAGATCTGCCCTGATTTTAACTCTTCCTGACAAGTAATAATTATTTTAAAGATCTAGAGAAACAAAAATGCCTGGTATATTTTAAACATAGTTCTCCCAGGCAGGTGTGACTGGGTTCTTCTCACGTTTTTATCAGACCATGGGCTTTACATGAGGTCTGTCTGGGCTTGGAAGCACCCTGGAAACCCAGAGCCTTAACGACTTTAAGTGTACCTTTTTCATGTGGTACCCCAGGATGAAAACGAAGGTATTTTTAGAGTAATTTGGTTATAAAGAAATTGTGGTACCTGAATGGCTCTTTTGGTATAGGAGTCAAAAAACAAAAAATACAAGCAAGCTTGGCTGATCTGAATAGATTACTGAGATTGCATGATTTGTGGCAACTTTACTACTTACACTTCTAATCTGAAACTGCTACTCCTCTGTGGCTTCATTAACATTATAAAACCAAAGCTAGTTTTTCTTACAAATGTGATTCCTGTCCTAGAAGGATTTCCAGCCTGACAAAGAAAGAAACAGGAGCAAGAGCCATACACGAGTGATTCTCCTGGAAAAGATGCTCATGAAGATACCATAATCAGTGGTTCTTGACCGGGCTGATTTCACCCCTTGGGGAATTTGTCTCCTTTGGGGAGGAGCTGCTGCTGACATCTAGTGGGTAGAGGCCAAAGATGCTGCTAAACACCCTGCAGCGCGTCGGATAGCGCCGTCCTCCCCCTCCCCCCCACCACAACGAAGAATTATCTGGTCCAAAATGCAGGTAGTGCTAAGGTTAAAACCCTTGTCAACAATGTGCAGAAGATACAACATGAACTGATAAATTGGCTAAATTAGGAAAACTCCAAAAATGATGTCCACAATTGTGGCTACTTGACTCTGGAGTTTTTTTTGGCCCTGCCCCCCCATCCCTGCTTTAGCTTTTTGTTTTGAAATCACTCTAGACTGCCGGGCGCGGTGGCTCAAGCCTGTAATCCCAGCACTTTGGGAGGCCGAGGCGGGTGGATCACGAGGTCAAGAGATCGAGACCATCCTGGTCAACATGGTGAAACCCCGTCTCTACTAAAAATACAAAAAATTAGCTGGGCATGGTGGTGCGTGCCTGTAATCCCAGCTACTCAGGAGGCTGAGGCAGGAGAATTGCCTGAACCCAGGAGGCGGAGGTTGCGGTGAGCCGAGATCGCGCCATTGCACTCCAGCCTGGGTAACAAGAGTGAAACTCCGTCTCAAAAAAAAAAAAAAAAAAGAAATCACTCTAGACTTACAGATTGGATATTTTCAACTCTATTTCCTTAGCACTTGGCATGTGGGAGGCTTTGTTAGATGTTGAATGAAAAATGGAATGAGGAAAGGGACACATTCAGACCAAATCCATTTAGGTTTTACTTCCATGTAAACTAAGCGGGAAACAGTTGAGGGCTCAGAGCAGAGAGGAAGGCTTGGAGATAAGCCTGCTGGTCTCCTAGAAACATCCAGCAGGCTGTCCTCTGCATCTCCCTGTGCATTTGCCCTTTGCTTCTGCTTGGCTTAGGTTGCTTAGTGCCTGTGGAATTGGCGTCAGAGAGAATACCTCCTGTTTAGGCCTCTGATGATCTTTGGTCCTGCGAGGAATCATTTCACACCCTAACCCTTACTCCAGTCATTGAGCATGGCCAGGATGATCCAGCAGGCCATTACCTATTGTATATAAGTGTGCAAATATGGCAAAAAGAGAAACCTAGAAAGTGAAAATCTCCTGAAATTCTGATAATCAACTTATACACATTTAAAAACTGGAAGAATATATACATTAACACAGAGATAAACATGGAAATATAATTTTACAGTACATTATACTACTTACAACTTTTTTTTTTTTTTTTGAGACAGGGTCTCACTCTGTTGCCCAGGCTGGAGTGCAGTCCACTGCCAGAGTGCAGTGGCGCAATCTCGGCTCCCTGCAACTCCGCCTCCTGGGTTCGAGAAATTCTCTTGCCTCAGCCTCCCAAGTAACTGGGATTACAGGCGTGCACCACCACGCCCAGCTAAATTTTGTATTTTTAATAGAGATGAGTTTCGCCATGTTGGCCAGGCTGGTCTCGAACTCCTGACCTCAAATGATCTGCCTGTCTTGGCCTCCCAAAGTGCTTGGGATTACAGGCATGAACCACCATGCCCAGCCATGCAAGTTCTATTTTTTACCTTACTGTATTATGGACATTCTTTGTTCTAGTTTGATATGTAAATTACTTAAAGTTGTCTGTAAAATAAGTATTATAGTATCATCTACCTACTTCAGAGATATCAGAAAGACTCAAATATAAATTGAGATTTAGAAAGAGTCTTTTAGATGAAAATTATTATATACCATGCTGACTTTTTAATTGACTATAACAGTGTTGAATGATTTTATTACTAGTTTCTTTTGAGGTGTTACTGAAATATTTTTAAAGACATTCTGAATCCTCAGAAAGAAACCATTATCTCTGTATTAATATAGTTTGTGTAATACTTAGAGATTTCAAGTGTCTTTTTTTTGTGTCTCCACAGGCAAATACATGTATCAGCCTATGACCCCTGTGGAACAGCTTCCAAGCACCGAGATTCCTGCCAGGCCTCGGGAGCCCACAAACACCATTCAGATCTCAGTCTCGCTCACTGAGCACTTTCTGAAATTTGCATCTGTCTTCCAGCCTCCCCTGCCGCCTGATTCACCAAGGTACTGTATGATCTCAGACCTCTTTATTGACAACTATCAGGTTAAATGTATTAATGGGAAGATGTGTTATGTGCAGAAGCAGCCGGCGCTACATTCCCACAAAATGAGCCCTGAGGAGGTCTCTGCACACGATGCCTTAATTTCAAAAGAGAGCAATACACCAAAAATAGATCACTGCTCTTCTCCCTCAAGTTCTGAAGACTCTGGGATCAATGCGATCGGGGCCCACTACGTGGAATCGTGTGACGAGGACACAGAAGAAGGAGCAGAACTGAGTTCAGAGGAAGATTACAGTCCAGAGAGCAGCTGGGAACCGGATGAGTGCACCCTTCTCTCCCCCTCGCAGTCTGACCTGGAAGTGATTGAAACCATAGAAACGACCGTGTGAGAGTCCAGCCAGGAAGCCACAGCCTGGGACCACGCCCAGCTTTTGTACCTCTGTCTGATGGATCCTTTTTTCCAATGATATTTTCTACCCACCCCACCCCCCAACAACTGTAGCAGTTTGGTGGTATGCTGATTAGCTTCTCTCAGTCTTACAACTAAGACATTTTTTATTATAAATGGTTTTCTTTTATATCTTGACTTACTTTCTATGTAGCATCTGGTGTCATGAATTGTGACCCAGCCTTAATTTCACTGGGAGATTTGAAGGCAGTGAAGTGATGATCACAGAGTATCTTGGATCAGATTGAGGAGGTGCCCAAGGGAAGGAGCCAAGGTTTTCTCAATAGCCAGTCCTTCCAGAAAGACTCTTGCCATCCTTTTGATGTGTTCACGGGCACCCCTGTCCTGTCCTGCTTGTCCTATGCAGGCAGCAGCTCCCTTGGGGAACAGAGCGTGCACTGGTAGCCGCCGTTTCTTCCCTTTCCCCTTCTCCCTACACCTGCACTGGGTCTGGACCAGAGCTGCCTCGGCTTACTTCTAGGAGGTCACTGGAGGCCAGCTCAGCCCCTGGTTTGTGGCCAGTGTCTGTACAAGGCTCCATGACTGAGGTTGAGCTAAACGTTCACATGAGAAGAGATGACCTCATCCGCCTCATGCCCAATCCAGCTTTAGCTGAGCACCTGTCCCCTGCAGGGTGCTGTGGGGACACCGCACAAATAAGACCTGATTCTCCCCCCATGAAGGGGCCCACAGTCCTACATATGACACATTCAACTCACAACACCCAGAAAGCTCTGGGAACCCAGGGGAAGGAAGAGATTGACTTGGCTTGGGCCAGCTGGGGAAGGTGTTTCAGCACTTGAACTGGCCTCTTGGGTGGGTTCCTCAACATTTCTCTGCTTTTAATTGTTCTTCAAGCCTGGGAAAAACTCTTAGGACGTTATATAGGTATATTTAGGAGGCAGCCACATCTGACATCTTAAGAAAAAAAATCAATTAATAGTTTTAGTTAGCATGGAAATGCTAAAGACATAAGTCCTTTAGGGATTAGGAATGAATCTAATAGGTTTGATTAATTCTGCTTCATTTGGTTGTATGAAGCATTAGTATGGCTTAAGTGAGAAATGGATTAGAATTCAGTATGATGCATGGATTTTTATGCAAATGCACAAGCAGTTGAAATAGTTTGCTGCTAAGTCAGGAGAAAAGATTTTGTGTACTATTCCTTCACTTTCCCCCACTAACACGGTCTGCTATGTGTGTTCTCTTCCCTCACATGCACAAAATAGTGACGAATTCTATCTTATTTAGCTCTCTTCAGAATGCTACTTCTAATCTCCATTTACACCAGGTATTCTTGTGCAAGTCGTAACTGCCATTTCTCCAAACCTTCTATCCGTGAGGCATAGTTAAAAATCCTGGAAATTATAAGTATGGCCTAATGAGAACATCAGAGCTAGAGCTAGAACAATACTCGCTCCTAATTCTCCAGAAGCATGCTCTCGGGGCGTTTCCTTGTGCTCTGGCAGCATGGTGCGTCTCTACGGCACATTCATTTGTATTTTAAAAAAGAAAAAGTTATGTTCTTCCCTGAAGCCTCCATTTGACATCATTCACAAACTACTCCAGGAAGAATCTGCTTTCCCAGGTGTATGTGTAAGTTAAGTCATTTTCTAGATAGAACTTTTTTTTAGATTTAGATGGCCAAGATATCCATAGGGTTTAGAAGGCAGAGTATGCATTTTCCTTTGCAGCGTTAGTTAAAACTTTCTATGCTAAATGAGAGTACAGCTTAGTCTCCACGTACTAAAATTTAAAGACTCAACAAGACAAACTAAAAGGGGGTACGAGGAGCTCTAGGAACAGGCAGGCACAGGAAAGGGCAGGTGTGGGCATGAGGGGCTTTCCTCTGCCCAGGGCATGGCCCAGATGGCACAGGGACATCCGATGAGCCCGGCCTGCTGTTCTTGGTGCCTGCCTTGTGTGACAGGCCCACTGAAGGCAGGCATGGAAGCCACATGCCTGCAAGCCTTGTGTCAGGGCACATTGGTGCAGTCCCGCGCCATGTGCTAAGGTTTGCAACAGCAACACCAGGGCCCTGTCTAGATTTTCCCTGTGGGTGAGCACACTCTCCACATGGGCATATAGAGGGGCCTGCTCCTCTACACCATTCCCACCCACTCATCTAATGGAGTCAGCAACCAGATTTCTAAAGCCATGGAAAGACGTGGCCACGGGGCCACACTTCTGCATCTTGGCTCAGTGGCAGGGTCGGGACCTCTCTCAGTACCATCTAGGACTTGTGTCTAGGTTCCTTTTTTAAACTCCTGAACTGCCATGCTGATTAGACACAATTTTAATGGAATTTTTGGATTTAATAATGGTTGATAATCACCTTAAATATTTGCACAATCTCTTTATAATTAAAAACTCACTAAGCTTCACTTACTACTATCTACTGTATAGAATTAGAGATGTTCCATTGGATTCTAAGTATCTGATACTCCTGGATCTCAAAATGACCTTTTCTAAATAAGCACAAGTTCTATTTTTGTCCTAGCACTGTTAATAACACTGAAATATATGATTGAACTGGAATTGTTTATTTATGCTTGCATTCCAAAACTAACTGAAACAGATATAAAAATGTGTAGTTTCACTTTAAATTCTAGGCCTGTATCTATACTATATGAAGGAATTTCTCTAATGCTGATGTGATGTTGCAAATTTGTGTACTTATAGGCACTTTAGAAAATGTTTAGACTGCAACATGCACTGTAGACATTGGACACAGTCATGTGAAACAGCCTGGGTTCATTAACACTTGCACATGACAGACATGAAAGCTTCATCATTTGGACCCAGGAATATGCTCACTTGGAGCAAGGGTTGGGCTTTGTGGATGGATAAACTGCTTTCTTGGGTTTATATGGAAACCCGGTACCAGTCCTGCTTTCGGAAAGTTGGCATAAAGGCTATTAGGTAGAAGCTTAATTCCACTAAATGTAGAATTTAGTTTTATTCTCTAACCAAGATTTTAGAAGTTTCAAGTTTCATATATGCTTATAACTTTTCCAAGATACGACTCTTAAAATGGATTTGTGGTTACAACTGTTTGGTATACAAAATACTAAGGATTTACTATCACATCTAGGTCTTTTTTACGATGTAATTTTTAATATATGAAGTCAGAATTTGAGGACTGCCCTGAAGAACAGTTGCTTCCCTGGGAGGAGAAGACTTGTAGCTGAAGGTAATACAAAATAAAACAGTTAAGCACCAGGCGCAGAGCGAAACCACGTAACCGTTTTCCCGAAATACTTCTTTTAGATTTGATCTGGGCTTTGATTCTATCTTGGGAGTGGTGGCTTTACTTCCTATCCTCCACTTCTTGGTCTATTTGAAACATCACAAGTATTTTAGGACTGATCATAACAAACTCCTTTTATGCTAATTGAATTCTTGACGTGGGCAAGAGTATGCACCTGGATAATTTATAAAGCTGTCCATCGATCCAGCTAAGTTTAGTGGTACAAATACTAGCAGGCAGGAGAAAAAGCACCAGTTAGAATATTTATACGGTCAGCTCTTATTTATTCCCATATCTTGTTTGCAAAATTTTATTGTCACATTTTGGCTTTTTTACATGAGGAAAACAAAGTTTTAACAGTTTGCTCTTCTGTCCCCTTCTCTAGAGGAGGTGTGAACCAGAAGAGGAGACCAGTTATATTTTAGGCTTTTCAGTAGTACGATTTTGTCTTCTCCCACAGAGGAGGCGGGAAGACGGGAGAGCAAGTGGGAGGCCCACGCACTTGATCAGTGCTGCCACTTCCTGGAAGTCAGTGGTTCTCACATCCAAATGTAAATAGGGCACTTCTCAACATTCATTTTGGGATTATTCACCATTTAAAAATTGTCACTGCTCTTTTTCATTACTGCGAATAACTGAGAGCTGTTTTAGGAAAAGGCCATGTTTCAGTGAGTGCTATGAATTCTTTTTTCAATGAAGGTTGAAGCAGTGTTCTCTTAGCAGCCCGAACACTTCTCAGAGCGACCTGTCACTAGCGGTTTTCATATTGAGCCTCCATATTGTGTTCACATCCCTTTTTAAGGCTGGTCATACCTTGCAATATTCACTTACTGTGCTATTTTAAAAAACTATTTTAAAGTTTTAAGCACAATGTGGACTCTTCTGTAATTTCCTAAAATTATATGGTTTTCCTACAGACAGCTCAACTTTCCTTGGTGTGTAACACTTTAGGAAAATACTGCCTTGTAAAATAAACGTGATTTTTTTTCTTTTGTACCAGAACAAATCTGCTATGTTGGAGTGTAGAGTAATGCCTCTCACCCGACCTCAAAACAAAAACTCACGTTTGCAAAGTGTGAAACGTTTCTATATCAGGCGCCTCCTACGTGCTAGGAAATAGTGTGTGCCCATTATACCATTAAACCTTCACGAGACTTCCTGAGGTGCAGGTAAGTCATACCATCCGCAGTATCTGCTCATAGTCGCCACTCCTGGTAACGTCCAGAACTCTTTGTCTAGGCCCTTTTGTTGGCAACATTGGGTTTATAGCACGTAATACTTGATATCCCCCACCAAATAGCATCTGTTTCACACACAGTCACAGCCTTGGTATTCAGTTCCCACGTGCCATGTAAGGTAGTGTTTGGTTGCAGTTTTTTTTTTTTTTTTTTTT